TGTTATATTGTTGTGGGCCACAGTGAAGGTGAGAGGGGATAATCAGGTCCAAGGCTTGAAAAGAGCTAAGACAGAATAACAGCTCTTAGCCAAGAAAGATTACTAATAAATTTGTAGAAACATTAATGGACTCACTGTCAAGTTTTTAATATAGAATTAATGGGGAAGTGGAACAGAATTCTTCCTCCGTAAGTCATGAGAGGCAACTAAAATGTCGGGAGTAAGGTGCTAGTAACCCCTTCTCCTGTATACATTACTAAAGTTAAAAAGAGAAACTTTTTTTCTTTTTGGGCCGCCCTGCTTTGGTGGGATACGGTTGGTTTGTTGAAAGAAGAAGCATGAATGATAGTGAAAAGACTGCATTTGACAAGTCAAATATTTTTTATCAAAAAATTATAAAAGGCAGGAGGATTTAGCCTCTAGAGAAGAGATGCTCACATTATGGATGTTGGGTTTATTTTTTGGGGAGAGGGGATGGAATACCTTTACAAATACTGGTATGTTAATTTAAGAGAAAGTTATACAAGAGTTGATAGGGGCTCTAGGAATGCAATGAGAGCACTATATTATCAGCCATTAGTTTTTTGTTTTTGTTTTTTTATATAAAAAAAAAACTCCCCAAAAAAATATGAAAAAAAAAAATAAAAAACAAATGTTGGGGATGCGTATCACCAAACTGTGTGGCTGAAGGACTGCATTGGCCCCTGGACAGGTTGGGAGTCAAGTAGCTCTAAGTACAACTAAATTCTTGGGCTGGTTTTACTAAAGTTTGCCTGATATACTCTACTACAAATGGTACCTAAATTATCTTGAGATATCTAGAGAATGCCTAATGCACATATAAGTGGCAATGTAAGTTTTGAAGTTGATTTGAGGTGCTGTCAAAAAGTTCCAGGACTCTGATTTTTGTATGTTTTTGGGGGGAAATATAGTAGCAGCATAGAGCACAGTACATGAGTTAGCGCGATCAGGCATTCTGTCAAGGTTAGATGATATTTCTTGTTTGTTTGTGGGGGAGGGGCAAGAGAGCAAGAGAGAAATATCTGTTGCAAGCTTGGTAAAACTGCTAATGAAACTAAATGCTTCAGCTAGCATTTGAATGTTGAGGATGATAAATGCTCTGGTCGCCCATTAATGTCAAAACCAGACGCCAACATTGAAAAGGCAAGGAAGGCTATTCCTGAAGATCATTATCAGAGTAACCGGGACATTAAAGAAGGAAAAGGGCACAATACTGTAACTGGAACAATACACAACCTGCACAGAGGTGGACTGGCCATACGGGCATTTGGGCAGTGCCCAGTGGGCCACTAGGCTGGGTATTAAAAAAAAAAAATGTCATGTAAAATTGAAGTCATAGCTGCTGCACAAAGATTGAAACAAAAATGGAATGTGCCTTAGCATGAGCAGTGAAAAAACACCTCTGGCCCTCAGCAGTTAATGAGCTAACCTGATAGGTGTGACGGATGTCCAGGCTAGTTTTAAGACCCAGTCCATTTCTGCATAGAGAGGACAGCTTGACATTTCAGTCTGACTTGGACCATTCACAAGTCACACTGACAAGAGTGAGCTAGTATATATAGGCAAGGAGCACAAGGACAGGAGGCAGTGGAAGAAATAATATTATTATTATTATCCCCTTCAGGGTCCAAGGCCCAAATCTGAAGTGGTGCCCCAGTGTCCAAGAATTTCAAAAAAAAAATTTGTTATTTTTTCTTATGAAATGGTAGAGAATCTTTTTGTGAAGGTAATAAAGCAAAAAGTATGAAATTTGATGGAAAATTGACGAAAATATGCTCTCGCGAATTTTGATGTGTCAACGATATTTACGAATCGGCGATTTTGCCGACTTTGACTCCCATTTTAGGCCAATTACATTATTCCAGCCAACCAAATTCTTAGCTATTTCACTAGTATTACTTCTATTCTATCGATTGAGCACAAGAAATCAGCAAGTCAACTGTTTCAACTACAAATTAAAGCGATTGGAAATTGTTAATTTGGCCAATTTAACACAAAGTTCAAAATATTCCAATTTCAAAATAGGGTCCAGAATAAACAATGTAGGTATTCCTGGAACTAAATTAACATTTCCTCTGTTCATTAGTTACGTTTTGAGGCTTTACAAATAAATTCCATTTTGATTTTTTTATTTACATAATGAATTTTTATTCACACCAAAAAATAGAAGATTTACTGTTATGCAATACTGTAATAATTGTATAAATATCATCACCATATTTGTGAATGCATATTAGACCCACCAGCTGGCGTGTATTAGACGTGTGAGGTCGTTTGTTTACTCTTGAACATCGGCAAAAATTTAACATTTCTGCTACTTTGAGCTCAGTTTCAAGCCATTTCCAGTGCTAAAACCAATCAAAATCATCTCTATTTCTGTAATATGTCTTCCATTCTATCAATTGAGACCAAGAAATCACAAATACAACTATAAAAAACATACGAAAAAAACACTGCAAAGTTGCTGTTTCAATCGAAAAATCATGATTTCAGTTTTTTTCTCTCATTATACACAGTGTGCTGCAGGATCTGTTTTATGTGGTGCACACATACCACATAGATGTATTCGCTCATATCTAGGCCCAAATGTACCACTCACAGTTTATCAGAGTGAGCTGAGCTCATGACGTAGATCTACGGTTTGGACCCTGAACGTAAAGCCGTAGATCTACGGGACGGACTCTGAAAGGGTTATTATTTTTTTTTTTTTTAACAAGTTGGCCATCTCCCACTGAGGCAGGGTGACCCAAAAGAAAGAAAATCCCCAAAAAGAAAATATTCATCATCATTCAACACTTTCACCTTACTCATACATAATCGCTGTTTTTGCAGAGGTACTCAGAATACAACAGTTTGGAAGTATATACGTATAAAGATACACAACATATCCCTCCAAACCGCCAATATCCCAAACCCCTCCTTTAAGTGCAGGCATTGTACTTCTCATTTCTAGGACTCGAGTCCGGCTATATGAAAATAACCGGTTTCCCTGAATCCCTTCACTAAATATTACCCTGCTCATACTCCAACAGCTCGTCAGGTCCCAAATACCATTCGTCTCCATTCACTCCTATCTAACATGCCCACGCACACTTGCTGGAAGTCCAAGCCCCTCACCCACAAAACCTCCTTTACCCCCTCCCTCCAACCTTTTCGAGGACAACCCCTACCCCGCCTTCCTTCCCCTGCAGATTTATACGCTCTCCATGTCATTCTACTTTGATCCATTCTCTCTAAATGACTAAACCACCTCAACAACCCCTCTTCAGCCCTCTGACTGATACTTTTATTAACTCTACACCTTCTCCTAATTTCCACACTCCGAATTTCTGCACAATATTTACACCACACATTGCCCTTAGACAGGACATCTCCACTGCCTCCAACCGCGCTAAACCTAGTAGGGTAGAAATAGTAGTGGCATTGGTAAGGTTGATCCAAGTTGGACCAAAACGACGTCATAAGCTTTTCTCGCTTTCTCCTATTTGCAGGCTATTTGTGAATTATCCAGGACATTGCTGACCTGAGACCAGAAATACTATCTGGTGCTTGCCTGGTACAAGGCACTATATTTATAACTCAAAAGGTATATATAGTGCCTGCATAAATGACATGCTGATAGGATTGGGCTCTGTATTCATGGACAAGGTTAAAAAAGTAGTAACTAAGAATTAAAGTGTAAAGTAATGAAATTCTTTGTCTGGCTTATAAATGGCTAAGTAAAATAAACTATTTTATTTTTTATCACACCTGCTATCTCCCTCCAAGGTAGGATGACTCAAAGGAAATGTTTTCCATTATTCATTTAATAGCTGTCTTGCCAGAGGTGTGTAGACATCACATTTCTAATAATTGTCTGAACTGCAAAATTTAAGTCCTGAAAACCATTTGTCTTAACTGATTTAGCATTTTAACAAATGCCTGTTAGATGCTCAAGCCCTCCTTCACTCCTACCAATCCTTCCTGGGATGACCCTTAACTTTCCACCCGACATGCACCCTCTTGGTCATACTATTCTACTCTGGCTCTTCTAAATGGCCAAACCACCTCAACCCCTGCTTTGTCCTCTGAATTACACTTATATTAATCCAATCCCATCTAATTTGTCCATACCTAATTCTCTGCTTAATATTTACACTGCATATTGCTCTCAAAACATATCTTCACTGCCTCTAACCTCCTTGCTGCATCTTTCATGGCTCCTCCATTTAAGTGTTAGTACCACTATACTCTGATCCATAAGCCATGTTACCTTCATAAACTTATTATCCACAAACTCCTCAATACCCACTTCTTTATCATCTGTACTAGTGCTGCATGACTCCTTATGCTTCACTTTGTCTTTCATAGACATCTGCTGATACCCCCATTCTCAGATATCTAGATAGATTCACTTTCTCCTAACTTTTTTTTTTACCTATCTGGCATCTGAGCTTTCATTGCTTTTTGTTATTCATCACCTTTCTGTGTCCTTTGATTACTTTTAATTTCCGTTTTTACACACTTTCCCAAATTCCTTCACTAACCTTTGCAACCTCTCTTCAGAATCTCCCAAAAGTACCCCTCCCCTCTCCCCAATAAAGAGTAACTGTACAACCTTCTGTTCATATCACCCTACTTATATTCCCAAAGTCCCTCTTATAAATATATTAAACCACCATGGTAACACCACACATTCCTATCTGAAGGTCTGCTTTTACTGTAAATTAGTTCCCCTCTCTTCTGTATCCTAACCAGAGACCGAAAAATGTTTGCTTTCAGGGACGTACTTCCTATTCTATGTATTGGCAACATCTACGACATTGCTTCCCTATCTACCCTATCATATGCTTTTCCTAAATCCTTAAATGCAACAAACAATTCCTTAAACATATTGAATTTGTATTTTTTTATTATAGAAAATAAAAATGTGTTTTTAAACTTTGTGTTATTGCATATAATTTTCAAGATTATTAAACCAATATTATTGTCTGTTTCAGAGGGTCTTTAGCTCCAGAGAAGTTAAAGGAATATATGATTGGAGCAGTGGATTATTTGACCCAGTTTCTCTTAAGAATGCATTCTAATCTTGTGGATGTTTTACAAGATACTGACAGTATTTCAAATAAAACTAGCTAGTTGCTAAAATCAATTTTAATACATTCCTCAAGATGACATATACAGCACACAAAAAATAATGATAAATTTGTCAATTTGTGTAGATTTGGGTTTTTACCATGCATCCATTGCATTTAGCAATGGAAATTTAATTATTAATAAAGTACTACATTCCACGTATCATTTTGTGGCAAATGTGTTTAGTGTCAAGAGTACAGATAGTGCCAAGGTTGATATCAACATATAGTTTGACTAAAATGTCTACAGTTTCAGCACCTTAAATATTCATGTCATGTTCTCTTGGGAGTCTCACAAAAGCAGTGTACAGTAGTTACTTTATTTCATTTATTATAATAATTTATTTCATTTTATTTTAAGAATTTTTTTTTTTACCCAATTCTGTTATCTTTCTATTGTTGGCTATTAAGTAAATCTGATGGCAAATTTTTAAGTGTCTGAGTAATTCCATAAGTTTTGTTATCTTTTTTTTTTTGTGTGTGATTGTTAGACATGACTTGTGCCTTATTGTCTATAAGAGTTTAATCTACAAGTTTAGCTTAGAGTTGTATGCATTATTTATTGTGTGTGGTATGAATTGGGCTCATTTTCATTAGATTGTTAGATATAGTCTATGCTAGTATTACTAGTAATATTTTTTCATTGAAAAGTGTCATTAACCTTGAATGCATCTAACTTTTCTGGGTGAATCAGTTTGTAAATAAACTTTTTATTTTATTTTCTATTTCTCGGTTCAGATAACCAACAAGTTGATAAATTAGCATGTGCAACACTTGGGTATCTTTACCGAGGAAACGTTTCGCCACACAGTGGCTTTATCAGTTCATACAATGAAGATTGCATGACCTGTACTAATAGGTGTGTTATTATTTATCAGTATTTTAGCAGGGATGTCACAAGGTTGGATAACTGAATGATGTTCAATGCACTTGAAACAACTCAAGGGTATCAAGGAGTGTAATCTCATTTTCAATGCAATTTTTGTAAATTACTTTGCTCAAATAAATACATGGACACTGAAATATTAATACAACATGTATGTCAAGTATTTAACAAGTTTAGTTTTTAGCGAGTTATTTTTATATTTTCTCAGTATTTGTTACAGATTATCATTTAAAAATAGTTTATCAGTCTGAAAATAAAAATTGAATTTGTTAGTTGTGTCCAGTCATCAAAGGAAGTGCTGTACAGTAATCAATAATGCTGCATGGACTGCAAGTGCTTAAATTACATTTAAAAATTACAGTATTTATTAAATGGCTAAGTTATGAATCATATTCTGCTTTTGATTCATATCCTTGAATTATGTGAGGTTGTTTGAAAGTTATACAATAGTAATATAATTTTGGTGACAGTATGTTAAATGTGTTATGGTCTGAATGCATTTTAATAAAAAATATTCTTAGCACTATTAAGTGCTAATCCAGCTATGGTCATTTTCTTGGAAGCCATATTAAATGTTTTTTTCAATTAAAGTTTTTTTTTAGAAAAATGCATTTTATTAAATCATGTACCAGTACTGGAGTTAATTGTCCAGCCTCTAAACCAGAGTATCCAAAACAGAATTGACTTTACAGTGCCATGTTTAAACATGATTTTGTAACCTTTTTTTATTTCTCCCACTAAATTTCTTTTCAACTCTTATCTTTGAGTTGCCTTTGAAGATAACAGCTAGTGCTAAAGAAAATAAATATCAGTACCTCATATTTATGACAATTTTGCGAGTGTTACTTGCATAGGATTCAGACAGCACCTGGGAAATAAGTAATCAGGTTTGAACCAAAAGGGTGGGGGGAGAGAAAGGGGTCAGCTCAAATTCCTTCGATCATGACTCCTTTACTGTCATTAAAGCACCTGCCTTTGTAAACAGTCCTTTCATTACAATTCATAAATTATGGTTGTCATATATTGTACCTTGGTTAAATTTGCTTCAATTTAGTTAGCTCTCAAGGAAGGTGCTTTGATGCCAGTGAAAGGCACTTGATCCAGGGAATCAGTGTCCCTTGGGATTGACAACTTTTTAATTTCTTGCTACTATATTAGAAAACCATGAGATGAGATTGCTTCCCTCTTTCCCATACCCTACATTTTTAATGTCACTCAGGTAACTCGTCCTCCAAATGAAAAGTTTACTCTTGCCCATTTTATTGTCAATTTCTATACTGTACTGTCTAAACATCAAATATTAATCCTTCAACACCAACATAGAAACCCCTCAAGGGAAGTTCGTCAATACTAGTGAAGGGCTCTTGATCTAAGGAATTGGATCTGTGCCCCACTTCCCTGAAATGAGCCTGAATACCTTCCATCCCCCCTAAAGGTTAAGTGCTCCCCCACGATCCAACATAGAAATGCTGTACGTAATTCATTGGCCCAGTCTAAGACCTGTGTAGCTCTTAAAAGTTCTGCTTTTATGAATGATGATATTTCAACTTGCTAGCTACTGGGAACTCTCTGGAACTACACAGCTTCAAAGCTCATCCCCTCAAGGAAGGTTCCTTGATGTTGGTGAGGGGCTCTTGATTAGGGAATTGGATCTGTGCTCCAGTTCCCCGAATTAAGCCTGAATGCCTTCCACGTCCCCCCCCCCAGGCGCTGTATAATCCTCCGGGTTTAGCGCTTCCCCCTTGATTATAATAATAATAATTCAAAGCTCATCACCTCATGCCCCTTGGGCTAGAGCTAGAACAATCTGATTTGTTACTTAAGAATGATTAGTTCCCCTACTAGTCAGAAAATTTCAACAATTGCATTTCCAGAATGGACTCTGGAACCTTTCCAGATGTGAATGAAAAAGACTTGCATTAAACAGTTTTTCTAGGTCTGGATCTGTGCTCCAGTTCCCCGAATTAAGCCTGAATGCCTTCCAATCCCCCCCCCAGGCGCTGTATAATCCTCCAGGTTTAGCGCTTCCCCCTTGATTATTATAATAATAATTTCTAGGTCTGGTTAGCTGCATAATCCTACGGGTTTAGCGCTCCCCTTGATTATAATAATAATAATAATAATAATAGGTCTGGTTAACTTTTCTAAGTTACCCTAAGAAAGTATAGTTGATCAATTAAAAATTAAATGGGTAGCTGTGTGTTTAGCACTAAGAATGCAATAAATATAATCAAGTTAAGTACCAAACCTATAAGAGCAATACAGCACTGGAATAAATTAATTAGAACCACTTAAAAGATAAACTGCTTTAATAAAAAATTTGAGTTTTTAAAATATTTTATATAGGATCTAACAAAGAAAATAATTCAAAATTTTAATACTGCTAATTGCATTAAGTCAATTATAATCAAAACTAAGTGCTAAATCCACTGGGGTAATACAGAAACAGCATAGTCAAAGCAAAATAAGATTGAAGCATGTGAGCCATTAATCTGCATTCAAAAAAAAAAAATCGAAAATTTGACTATACAGCCATGTTATACATGTATGACCGTTACAAATTTAAAGCTTCCCTATGACTGCAGTAACTCAGTTTATATTGGCAATGATACTATCATTTTCAAAGGTGGGGAGCACTAAACCCATACAGGTCATACAGTGCCTGGGGAGAATGGAGGTAACTGGGTTTGATCTAAGGATGGAAAGAGCAGGTCCATTATTATTATCATGGGGGAAGTGCTAAACCCGTAGGATTATACAGCGCCTGGGGATGTGGGAAGGTATTCAGGCTTAATTCAGGGAACTGGAGCACAGTTCCAATTCCCTAGATAAAAAGCCCCTCACCAGCATAAAGGAACCTCCCTTGAGGAGAGGGCAGGTCCAATTCCTTGGATAAAAAGCTCCTCACCATTGTCAAGGAACCTCCCTTGAGGGGTAAGGAATCAATATTATTATAATCAAGGGGAAAGCGCTAAACCCAGAGGATTATACAGCATCTGGGGGGGGGATGTGGAAGGCATTCAGGCTTAATTCAGGGAATTGGAGCACAGATCCAATTCCCTAAATCAAGAGCCCCTCACCAACATCAAGGAACCTTCCTTGAGGGGAAGGAATCAATAACAACAGATACAATTAAAGTCACCTTGAACCTAATTTGATTAGTCACAACACAGGTTAACAAGAGGTTGTTTTTGCCTGACAGTTTCTTCACTAATGTATTTGAGACGATCATGACAGGGTATTATGGTGCATGCATATCTGGATTTCAGTATGGCTTTCAAGTCCCACACAGGTGACTTGGAAAAAAGTGTTGCTGAATGATCCCCACAAGTTTATCACACAATACAAAAGGAATATTTTTTTTTGAATTATGGGAAAATGCTAAAACAATAGGGGAATGGGAAACATTCAGGTTTGATCCAAGGACAGGGATGATACAGGAGGAACACTAAAAGATGTGAAAGGTCAAACCTCCATCAGTAAGTTACAGCCTGGTATGGTAGCACTGATGGATCCTTTGGAGAGGCATCAAAATTTAGCTATTATAACAAACTACTTTTACAAAATGGTGCATACCTAATAGTGTATTCTCAAAAACATTTAAAATAAAAACTACATTTGTGACAGCACTTAGCTCACGCTGAGGTCCATGGTTCAATCACCGGTATAGGTGGAAACATTAGGACTTATTTCCTTAAGACACTTGCTGTCCATGTTCACCTATCAGTAAAATGGGTACCTGGGTGTTAGTCAACTGGTGTGATCGTATCCTGGGGACAAAATTTACCTAATTTGCCCAAAATGCTCTGCATAACAAGGGATTTCTATATACTGTACTGTCACTGATGTCAGCTAGGCCTGTATACCTTGTACATGTATTTGTAGAAATAAAGGTTATTATTATTAAATGAATGAAATATTGAAATTGATTTCTGGACAATTGTCAAAGTCTCCTCTATTTTATCACAGCCACCATTTGAGATGATGTAAATACTCTTATAACAGGGACGATTGGAACAATGTAGTTAGTATGGCTATCTGATGACATGGGGAGGCCAGGCTTTTAACCAAAGAAAATGATGTGCAGAGATGATGCTGCTGCCTTGAATCAGCACTGATCGCCAATTTTGCAACACAGTAGTCCAGAAATCTAACAATTTCAACATTTCAGTGGTCCTGGCCAAATTGGTGCTACCCTGACAACACATCAGGTGACCTGACTCACATCAGTAAACCGACTCTTATACCTGACAACTCTTCCTCTATATGTGTAATTATGCTCAGTACTGGATTGACAATACTTGGCAGAAGTATTGGGAGTAATGTTACTTGGCAGAAGTATTGGGAGTAATGTTAATGTTGGAAGGCGTGTTATCAGTGTGATGGCACTAGTTAGGAATTACTAGCAGTGTGTTAGGTTGTTATTGGTGTTGCAAGTGGTGATACTTGTGGTGATGTCAGTCATGATGGCGAAGATAAACGGGAGGTAGAAGCAAGGTTAAATTATATTCAGAAACAATGCTAAACCTTCGTCATACAGAAGCAACATTAGTGAGAGAACATTACTCACGAAATCGTAATGACACGTTGGATTTATGGACCCGCGTTTGATCCTGGGATGAATGGAGCTTTGGGCATGTTTCCTTACATCTGTCACCTCCGTCCACCTAGCAGGAAATAAGTACCAAAGTTCTAGCCAGTGCTGGGGATCATAACCTGAGGGAAAGGCGTTATTATACCTTGGATCTGGCTTTGAGTTAAGGGATGTTACAGCTCTTAGCCTGTGAATTCAACTTGTAAAAAAAAAAAAAAAAAAAAAATGGCGTTGTAAGGTGACCTTCACACACCAGGCGCCATCACTACCTCACCTCTCTCCAACATCTGTACCTCAGTAAAAACTTGTAGTGTTCTCATGTATAACTCAACTGACCAGACCCTTCAACGGCTCTCAGAGGGTACAATCAATGGTTCCCCTCAAGGAAGGTTCCTTGATGTTGGTGAGGGGCTCTTGATTTAGGGAATTGGATCTGTGCTCCAGTTCCCCGAATTAAGCCTGAATGCCTTCCTGGTAATAAATGGTATAAAATACCGACACAATGGAAATATAAACACAAATGCAGTATAATGTGATCCTTTATTGACAACGTTTCACCCACACAGTGGGCTTTCTCAAGTCACACACGGATCTACCTGGGGTTGGAAGGTACGAGAGTATTTATAGTCAGAATGCTGAGGTCAGGTGAAGAATGCTGCATCTGATGATCCACCGGGGTGGGGTTATAGAGTCTTGGGTAGCTTGGCAGGGGTATTGGACAAGTTGTAGACCTTCTGCAGTGTTCTATGTTCTTATGTGGGATAGCGATGAAGAAGTTTCTTGGCGAGTGGTTCAGCT